TCCTATGGAAAAAATTTTAAAAGAAAGAAAATACATCCCTCTCTCCCTTCTCCTTGTGTGCTCATTCATGCAAGTTCTTTCTGTTATTAAAACAAAAACCTTGGGGCAGGCAGGTGGAGTGGTAGTTAAAGGTCCTGGATTCCCACATGACCAACCATGGTTTGAGTCCTGGACCCGGTGGCGTGATTTCTCCCCTCCCCCTCTCTCCTTGGCCAAGTTTAAAAATAATGATAATGATGAAATTAAATGAAATAATTCTAAAAAGCAAAAAAGGAGTAAAAAAACAATCATAATGTAGTGTGGTGGTGAGTATAAGGGAGATGTGCACATCTATAGGGGTGCCTGACTCAGTTTTGAGAATCCGGACAGTGTCCCTAAGAAAGCATGCAGAGCTGGTAGCTAAAGGTTGCTTTGAGAGAACCAGACAAAGAAGCCAAAGAAAAATGACAAAGGCCCAGAGGCAGGAGAGATTTGGGCCCATTTGGAGTGCCGCAAGCAGTTCAGAATGGGCAGAGTGGAGGTTGTGAGGTGAGGTTGGTGGGAGATGGGACTGGTGGGATGAGCAGGGAACAAAATATAAATGCCTCATTGGGCCATGGTCACATTGCAATCCCTTCTCTTCCATGTCTTCATCCTGTTGGAATTTAGAGCATGCATGCGCACATGCCTGGAGTGTTTTTCAGGCTGCTGGGACCAGGATTTAAACCAGATAGGCCATGTTGGATCCAGCTCCCTTAATCACTGGGCTCTGGGGCTAGCCTGGCTTTGTGATAATTTGATAAACCAGTCCCAGGACACCAAGAAAAACCATGATGTTTTTCTTCCATCATGGACATTTAAGCTCCATGAGGTGAGAAGCTTGGCACTTCTTTTTTCAGTGTTTGGCATATAATACATGCTTAATATGTATCGACTGATACGAGATATTGATTCCAGGGGAGAATTTGTTCTGACTCCACATTTCGGTGGTAGGTGAATTATTTCCAATACTGTATATGATGGAACATCAAGAAGTTTTTGAGAGCTGTCTCTGCAGTATAGTGGTAATGTGCTGCCCAAGAGAAGCTGGATCTCACATGGTGACTGCAGTTCTAATCCTCTGCCTGAAACATGCCTGGCATGGTGAAATGCCCAGGATCTGACGAGATGGAAGACTAAAGGAAGGAGACCCATGACATGACCTGACTAGATCCTGTGAAGGATGTCTGTCTGTTTCTCTCTTGTGAACACATGCTCTATCATGACTTTTTAAAAAATTATTTTATTTAACTTTATTTTAATTTGATCAGAGAGGGGGAGAGAGCGAGAGAACAGAGAGAAAGTGAGAAAGCAAGCCGCCAGGTCCGGGACTCGAACCACAGTTGGCCATGTGGGAGTCCAGCACCCTTAACCACCACACCACTTGCCGGTCCCTATCGTGCCTTTTTTTAAAAATTAAGTTTTGGAAAAATTAAAGTATGAGTTTATTTTGGTGTAAAAAAATTAAAATCCATGCATAATTTTTTATAATATATATTTTCTGTGAGCTTTTTGAAGACTCTTTATAATGTTTACGAGCTGCATAAAGAAGTTATATGTGAGTGCAAAATTTCCATTCAGGCTCGAACTTGTTTTGCAAGGCCTGTCTCTATTAAGAGGACAGTAACAGGTGGGCCTAACACTGAACTGGGGTAGGAGAGTTGGCAGCTCTTCTAACTTTCATCACTGCCTCACAAAGCCTCAGGCAAGAGAGCTCACTTCTATGGCTCGGTTTCCCAAGCAATGAAAAGAAGAAAACCCTGTTCCCCTTCCGCCTACTAAGAAGGATCATGGAGGGGCGGGGGGAAGCCTGTAAAACACTACAACTTCTGAGAAATATCAATGGGTCCTACTTTGTTTATTTCACTCTCTGAAAACCACTTTAAAGTTATTTTCCTTTCAGAGTTCTTTAACCATTCAGCAAAGCTTAAGACATAAGCTGTCAGTTCATAATCATTATCTCCTTTTTACAGATGGAGAAATTTAAGGCAGAAGAGGATTACATGTTCAAGTCCACAAAGTAATTTTACCAACAGAATTCCAAAAAGATTCTATGAGTCTAAAACAAAATGATTCTGGGGAGCCATCTGCTCTCCAGCTGCAGAGACAGTTCTCTAATGAGCAATAAGTATTATTGAGATAAATTTTACCATAACGGAAGTTAATCAGACAGTCGGGATTCAGATAAGCCTAGCTTAAGCATTTAAATAAAGACTTTTGCATTCTACCAGTGAGTAGATTTTAAGACCTATCTAAAACTTTGGTATTAGCAACTTGGGTTTAACAAAGATGGTTAGAGTCTCTTTGGTCTTGTTAACCATGAATTTGAAGCAGTGACTATAAAGAAGATGGAGTGTCTTGACTAGGTAAAATAGAGAGAACCTGAGAAAATGACCAAGGATAAATAAAACATAGCAAATCCAATCCAGTTCTCAGATACTCTCAACTGGTAATATCTAGGCAACCAGAATCCTGCACTAATCTAATGTAATTTAACACAGATGGGGGGTGGGTGGGGAGTGGGGAGAGAGATACGAGTGCTAGAGATGAGACAAGAATGGCAGAATGTAGAAAAACTGTTAAAGCTGGGTGATGAGGGGCCAGTTTGTGACCTGGCCAGTTGCACAATTTGAGTCCTGGACACTTTGGTTTGAGAAACACACCAGGTGTGTGTGTGTGTGTGTGTGTGTGTGTGTGTGTGTGTGTATACATGCCCAAAATCTGAAAAGGAGGAAAAGGAGAGAGAAAAGAAACTCTGTGCCCAGTAACAGTCCCTGTATTCCCCCAGTTCAACCGCAGGCCACCACCACTCTGCTTTCCATCTCTGTGTATTTGTCTATTTTGGACATTTCCTATAAATGGAATCATACAGTATGTAATCTTTTGTTTTTGTCTTCATTCCCTTAGCATGTTTTCAAGGCTTACTTACCCACATTGTGGGCTATATCAGTACCTCATTCCTTTTTTGGCTGGATAGTATTCTATTGTAAGGATATGCTACAATTTGTTTATCCAGTCATCAGATAATGGATATTTGGGGTGCTTCTAATTTTGGCTATTATGAATAATGTTACTGTCATCATTAGCATGTAAGACATGTCTTTATTTTCCTTGGGTATATGCACCTAGGAGTTGCTAGCTCATATGGTAACTAGATGTTAAACTTTGTTTTGTTTTAATTCGCCAATGGGCACCTGCACTGGGTGGGGAGGGGGAAGATCACCTTCCAAGGGGGCATGGTTATACCATAATCCCTTCTTTTTCATTAGCCTCTCCTTTCAGAATTTTGGGGACATGCACCATTCTGTTTGGGAAACCGTGAGGTCCAGGATTCCAGCTGTTCAACTGGCCATGTAGGATCTGTCTTCCTTAACCATCAGGTCATTGGCCAGTCCTATGCTTAGCATTTTTGAAGAATTGCCACACTTTTCCAAAATAGATGCACTATTTCCATTCCTACCATTAATAGATGAGGATTCTAAATTCCCCACACCCTCACTGACACTTATCACCTGTCTTTAATTTTAACTATTCTAGTAGGTGTGTAATGGCATTC